TAAATCAGTTTTTTCACAACAATATATAAAATGTTGGGAGTATGTAGGAATACAAACATAAAAATATTCGTTCATTAAGGAAACTAATTATTTATCTTTTGTAAACAAAGGTATTTTACATGCCAGTAAGATCTGATCCACTTTTCATAAAAATATCAAACAAGATATAAGAACTTACCTCTTCAAGGAGAAGTATTAAAAGAAAGCCCATTAAAACAATCAAGTCCGAATTTAAAAATATATGTAAAGATAGATCGGTATGACCAGCTGTTGCAGTCCATAGATTTCGAATGTGTTCTTCATGTTTTCGGATATGTGGCAGGAGGCCAAGGAAACATGACGACAAGAATATACCACAAGCAAAACAGTTACCCAATGACACGACAAGACTTCCTTCCCTGTAAAATTTGGTGATTTGATGAAAATGGAAAATGAAATCTCAGAGCAATCTAAAGCAGTAAAGGCAATTTCGAAATCTCTTAGAATTACACTACCAAAATAAGAGACTAAGTTTGCATATGTAGAAATTTTTGCTAAAATGCAAGTAAAATAAGTTAAAAGCATCAGAAATTGTTTGGAGAAATGTTCAACAACAATAATGAGAGATCAGACATTTTTAAAAAAGGATTCAAATAATAATAAAAATAAGAGAAATCACATGAAAACACTGGTGGAAACACTTTTACAAAAAAATGAAAAAGAAACATCCAAACAAACTTACTCAGCATGACCGCCCACTCGCATTCGTCTTTTCAGTATGCAATAACTGCCAAATGTTACAGAAAAAAGTACCATAAATATAACACATCCCCACAAGAAATTCAACAAAATCATACTTATGATAATGAGATCATGTTCATTTTATTGTTAACCGTAATTGTAATCAGTGAGGTCATCTTTAAAACAAATTTTCCACTAGCTCCTCACGTTTAATACATTACGAACGAATGAGTGAATGACCGATTGACAAACTAAAATTAAATTTTTAAATTTGTGTAAATTTTATGCATTATGCCATATGAAACCCTATCCGTCACCAGTTGCAAAATGTCACAGCACTAAGAAAATTCTCCGTAACGGACTTGTCCCTTTAAATTAAGAAATTTTTTCAAATAATTTCAAACGTTCATACATCCTCAAACAGAAAATAATGAAATGCAAAAAGTATTTATCCACCAACAAAAACAAAAGCGAAATGTACAATTAACAAATAAAACAATGAGTAACAACGATTTTAATCTGAACAAAATACCATCAAAACCATTAAAAGCAATGATTTCACTTAGTTCTACTAAATTCATAAAAAATCTAGAAAACTACAAAAAGAATATGGAGAAAAAACCACTGCAATCTCTCACTTTATTGAATCTTTTAACAGCATCATGATACTGCAAGAAATTTTTGTAATTTCAACAATGAAGTAAATTCTAATGTCAGACAAAAAAAAGAGATGAGCATCATTTTTTTTTTCTTGGCTTTGCATCATTTTTCAACATGTTTGCACCAGAATGACGCCCTTTAAGTTTACGTGCTAGGCTTCCAGGCGTCACAATTTCTTCAAAGCTGAAAAAAGTTATGCAGAAATTTGCAAATGATTCAACCTTACATAAGTGCTTCTTTCTCTCATTTATGGTCTTACTGAAATATAAATGTAAAAAAGTTAAAATATTTAAATGTACCTATTTTTGTCATTTTTCTTAGATCTTTTCTTCTGTCCACCAAATCCAAACTTTTTGTCCCGGGCTACTCGACGAGATTTTTTATTCCTTCCGCGCATTTTTCCTTTCTGTGACCCTTCCACTTCAATCTGGAATTCCTTTTTTCTTACAGAGTAGAATAAAAACTTCAAAAACTGCTTGAAATAAACTAGAATCCGAAAGACAACCTAAGTTTGTGAAAACATACACACTGTTGTGATGCACAATTTAATAATGGGAATGAAAAAACCTCAACATCCTGCATCCTCTTTGCATTATTGAGTATGGCATCCAAATGTGACTTGACGCCCTTCCGATGCTTTTTCACTGCTTCTACCAAAATCTTTTTTTCACCCTGTTTCCGTTCCATTACCTGAATTAACAAATAAACTACAATGGACTTTACTGCAAAGCGAGAAAAAAGCCATGACAAAATTGTAAGCTCATCTATAATTTTACCTTTTTCTGCACTTTAGCTGCAAACTTCTTTTCTTCACGAATTCTACGAATTGCTTCTAACTTCCGTTTGCTTTCTTCAACTTCTGCCATACGTTGCCTTATCTACAAACAGTATTATGATAAAAATAATATCGCAAATGTATCTATAATGAAATGATAATATCAACATCAACTCTAACAGAAGTAGCAATTACATCATCCCGGACAATTCCGGACAAACAGAATAACTTCATGAACCAAATTAACAATTGAAGAAAATTCAAAACAAAAAATATGCTCACTTTCTGCATATGCTCATCACTTTTCACCATTTCGGCATAATAATCTGACGGTCGAGAAATCTTCACACCCATTTCACGTAGTCGTGATACTGCTACCTGCACTGCTTTTTCAGCCTGTTTGTAACTGCAAAAAACTATCTATGACGATCTTTTTTTAAACACAAACTTGCAAATTATAATTTAAAAACATCCAGTACCTGAAATGAAGTACCTATTGGAAAGTGCAGAAAAAAGTTAGAAAATAACTTACAAAATTATTTCACGCTCAAAATCATCGTTGAGCACTTTCTCACCGATTTGGTCATTATTTACTGTCACGTCCAGCGTTTCTAGCCACGTTAAATTCTTTTTCAGTTTCTCGACTTTATCCTCCATTTCAGCCTTCAAGTATGCAGAATATAACATGAAGTCATGCGTTCTAACAACGAACTATCCCCAGAAAAAACAATTAAACTTAACTACATGATACAAAAAGATTCATCACTATTAGAGCCAATCTACTTACTTTAATGAATTTGATATCATACTTTTTTATTTATAATCGGTCTCTTCTTTTCTACAACATAATTCAACTTATCAGTCTTCAGTAGACCTTCGTCGAATGCAATTTGCAGCTGCAATTAAGAAATTATACTGCAAAATAACACGGTGACTTCCAGTCAAGTCTTGCTTTAAACCACCTTATTTCGGAAAAAAATTTGGAATTAAAGAACAAACCATACTGGATTTGAAAAATAGATAATTTTTATTTAAAGAAAAAGTAGATGACAAAAATTAGGGCCTTATTGTACTAAAAATTACGTATTAGTATCCTTAATTCAAGAATTCCATCCATAAAATAATACTTCTCTATCCGAATCGTTGCTCTCCCCTTCGCTTTCAAAAGCTGAAAAAATCTTGGCACCCACATCGTCCTCTGTGGTACTCATTTCTCCTCTTTTCATACTTAACATAAATACTCCTTCAAGAAATCAACCGTCAGATTAAAAAAAATCTAATAATCTAATATATTAGTGTTCTGTGATTAGCCCGCCCTTACTAATAGGCAAGCTACATTTATTTCATTAGAGGCAAAGAAAAGAACATGATCAACCACTTCTGAAGAGTAAAATAAGCAAAGTCTCGCAAACATTACAGAAAAATGGAATGCGATGGTTTGTTGAAGTCAAATTTTAATGATCTACGCTATTCGAAAAACAACTTAAATTGGTAACATCCACGATGTGTTCCACAAGCAAAAGCATTTACAAATTTTAAAAGTTATAAAAAATTGAATTTTAAAAGAATCATGCGTTTCTCCACAGCTCAGCGCATGCTTGTGAACACGGAATATTTGCTGCAGCCTACTATCTGTTCGATGTAAGGATTAATTCAAATTTTGGACTCTAACAATTCTAAAGGTTGATATGATCGGATCAAATTTCTATCAAAAGCGCAAAAAACATAACACTGCTCAAGAATTAGCGAGTTTCAAGTATGTTTGTTTGGTGTCCATTACCCGGATAAACAAACTGATATTTGAAAAAGGGTAATTGAAAACGTCCAATACATACGTTTTGTAACGCATTCTTTAAACTATCACATACAAGTTTAAAGAATCACAGAAAAGTGATCTACGTGAAGAAACCATACTAAACGTGATTTACAACAATCATCCGTAGAAATGCATCACTTAAATCGTAATGCCGCTAAAAAGATTTAGGCCCACCTATCATCTAGAATATGAAAAATGCAATACCCCCTACAAGATTAGTTCCCGAAATCTTTCTTTCACTCATCACAGCTTACATACCGATTCTCAAGTATTATAGATCAATTTGACAATGAGGGACGACAAAAAAATAGTGGACAAAACTAAGATACGGCAGAGATTGCTAGAATTTGCTAGGAAGCATATTGCTAGGTATTCAAGGTTTTAGCGAATGAGAAAGTAGAAGCTACAGTTCGAGATTTGTATAAAACTGAGGCGTTCGGTTCGGTTACGTGGAGGTGCAGTTTGACTGGTTTCTTGCATAGTGTTCCATTAAGAGTTGCTTTTAGTATGGAAATTTAGAATGAACCGATTCTTTTTCAGGAATGAGCAAATTTTGTTATCAGACTCTCGCATTCAGAACAAAATGTCAAATTTTGCAATTGGAATTCATCCAGCGGTAATTTCATTTATATCTCCATTATAAATATCGATATTAAGCACTGTTTGTGAAGTGGTGCTCTTTTAGTATGATCTTTGACATTACCAAAGCTAGTCGCTTCATCTTGTCCGCATGTAGTTAGGTGTTTTTTGCAGAACAGCATTTACATGTTGTTTCATTTTAATATCTCCAGTATAGTGTTCGTATTTTTACAGCTTTACAACGTTTATTACTTCTCACCCATCCTCCTTAACTTATATTTGCTGCAAGAGAGCATTTTCGATTGAAACAACCAGTTCCAATATGTTCGAAGATGAAGAGAAAACGAAACTGAAGCCATCACCAGAGTTTTTGTCTTCATTGGACACAAACTCTCGTCAGTTAATTGATAAAATAGTGGCAGAAGTTGAAGTAATTACGTGTTTGGATTAATTTTTTTCTGTCTATTTTTCTCACTAATCAAGTTTTTTATTATGTATGCAAAAAATCCATTTATTCGAATTTCATGTTAGATAATGGAATGGATGATGCCACATCCACCATCTATTTTGCGGGATAAACAGTGGGAAAAGTTGATGACAATAGAGAAAACGGAAGATCGAGTAGCATATTTACGAGCATATGCAAAACATGTTTTTCGCGATGAAATGCGCGAAGCTAAAAGAAAGGCGATTGTAGATTCACGAAATGCATTACTCAATTTTCAGGTATTTTATGCTAAAATTCGTAATAGAATGGTTTAGACTCTTGTTTTGCAAACAGAAGCTTACGAAAGATGTGGGAGAAATAGTGGAAAGAGAAGATCGCATGTGGATAAAAGAAGCATCATATTAGAGGTGAAAATGTTGAGGCGAAAAGCAAAAGAAAGAAATTTATATGAAGAAAGCAAAATTTATTTTGAAATCTTTTTTTGAAAAATTAATTTTTGAAAGATTAAAAAAAGTATTAATTAGGAATGAAATGGGTGATGATCAGAATTTTTTCACCAGAATCTCCATATAATGCGAAAACCTAGTCACTAATGCGGAAAAATCACTAATAGAATGTAATTAATTACTTTGAGTCCACCTTTTTCAATTTTATTGCGTTAGATTTTTACTAAAGGTATTTTCAGTTCTTTTTATCAATCTAGCTAACTTTTCACCATTTCTAATTTTAGCGTGCGAAGTTTGATGCTGGTGCCATGGGCTACGGCCCAACAATGCATGAATTAATCATTTCTAATATGGAGCGTAATGCGAGAAGTAAGTGGGACTTAATTTACGAATAGATTTACATTTTCACTTGTGGTTTTCGGCAGATATGAAGAAGTATTCGACTCAACGAATGGTTACATGTTAAAAATTTTTTTTTTTTTGAAAGATTTCTAATGTTGTAAAGTATCCTTGGTATAACATAGTATTAATAAAATTCTGCACTTTGATACTGTACGGAATTTTCATCAAAAAGGACGAAGAATTAACTGGTCACGCTATGATCCAGATATGATTCTCAAACTCAAGGAAATTACCACTGATAAATGTACATACAGGAATCAAACATATCGAGGGAGCAGCGATGTGGAGAACTTTACGGCTGAAGGAAAAACCACGACTTGTCATGGACTGTCAGTTTATCGCTGAAAAATTCGATGACTTTTCGTCTCGTCTCGCTACGCAACTGGAATACATCATACAAGTGAGCTTTCTGAATACTATCATAGGAAAGCTAATTTTTCCAAAATGGTGCAATTTAAGGAGAAAGGGAATATAAGCCTTGAATAAGCTACTATTAATTTTAAAGAACTTGATATTGTTTGAATACAGTTGTTACCCATATCAGGAAAATCTTCGACGTCGGGAACCATTTGATTTGTCTATTGTCAATTACGATGAAAACAATCCAAACTGTCAGGATGTCACGAAGTAAATTTTCACTCTCTACTAATGATCCAAATGAAGGTCGTAAATTTAAAAGATCAAAAATCTTTTAGACTCCTGAAGACTCAGTATGCTCATCAGACAATTCTGCCACTGCATACAGACAAGGATGTAGTTGATTTGTACAATAAAGAAGATATCATTTATATTGCCAAGTATGCATATTATGTTATTTTTTCATTGTTATTTAATTTTTTCTCTTTTCGGTATTTAGAAAATAAGAATGTTTTTAGAAATAAATCCACACCTGAAATAATTTTCAGGTGGGCTAAGCAAGTAATACGAACTCCATTAAACAATGAA